CATATACAATTTGGCTGGAGTTTTCAGATAGATGTATACAAAAGTAGATTTCCAAGGTATTGCACTGAGGTTTGTCTTAAGTGTCCAGTCACCGGCTGATTTCTAATAAAGGGGTGTGTTGGTCCAGTGCACATGCTGCTCACGAAACAACGCTCTCGTGTATCCTCACGCTCCTCAGAGATGTCCTCAATCCTCACTTGACCCAGAAATCACTCCTGTTGTGTTCAGTGACCCACCCAAGGCCACTGACACATGTTTTTTTTGCTATGCCAGACTTTAAGATCTGGGTTCTGTACTGCATTTACAGGCGCATGTGTATCCTGGTATCCTTATTCATTGACTGTATACAAGATGGACATTGCATCACCCCGTGGAAAGAGAAGCCAAACCAGATTCTGCGCAGTAGTGACTGAGTAGTTGAGTGACACATCAGGCTGCCAATCAAAGCTGTCAAATCACCTGAAATACACCCCTTTTAAATCATCAAATAACTGATTAGAAATAGTCTTACCAGAAAAATGACCACTTGTGCACATATCAGCATGATAATATCTACCAAATAGTTTGATTTGTACTTTGAGTTTTTAGTTTGGTTCATGTCCCATCCACTAAGACCACGTTCACACTGCAGGTTGAAGTGGCTGAAATCCGATCTTTTTGCCCAAATGCGACCCATATCCGATTTCCTTATGACGGTGTGAACAGCACAAATCCAATTTTTTCAAATCCGACCCAGGCCACTTTCATATGTGGTCCTAAATCGGATACGTATCCAATGTTTTGCAATGTGACTTTAGTGTGAATGGCCAGGTTGCATTTCATGTGATTTTTATGTCATTGAAATGCGACAGACGTCACAATTCTGCGCTGGAGGAGGCGAGGGGTAATAAAAAAATGGCAGACAACGGTGATTCAGGTGGTGATAACGTTTCCCTTCTCACTCGGAAATTATTAATGAATTCTGTGTCCATGAAGCCCCTCACGGAATCCCACCAGTCCTGGCTCCGACTCCGCACCCACACATTCCTCTGTACAGAGGTAGCAGCCACTGCTCCACAAAAGGCCATAAGCAATATTTGTGCTCTCCTTCTTCTTGATATTCTTCTTATTATTATGTCTTTATTTCGATTGCAAATTGTCAGGTACATCGCTACGCACATGCTATCACGAGCCACATCCATTTTTATTTCCGCAAACACAGTACGCTGCGTCTGACGTCATGTCCTCTTCTGCGCATGCGGGTCACTTCAGGGCCGTATACCGTTCACACATGAGACAGATGGCAGTCGCATTTAAATGACAGTGTGAACAACAGCGCAAAAAAGTCGGATTTCGGCAAAAAATCCGATCTGAGCATTAAGACCTGTAGTGTGAACGTAGTCTAAGATGGAGGGGGTGACTTTGGACCTATACTGCTACCAGCCACCAGGGGGCGATTAACTCACTGTGGTTTCACTTGTGGGAACTGTCAGACTGTCCATCATATATACAGTTAAAGGCATTATCCTGTTTTTAATTATTTTCAGGATATGGTGTTGATATAGAACATGAAAAATTGTTCTTCGTATCTGTGTACATAATTAAAACTGTATCCATCTCAGCTACGGTGTTTCTGTCTGGAGAAAAAATGTTTAGAAACCTGGATAAGGTGTTGAAATGCCACAGTATGTTTGTATGTTGTTTTCCAAATAATGGAGATTGTGTTTTGTGCGGATAGTTCTAATAAACTCTTTGTGTTTCCATTTCCAATATGGCTGGTGTTGAGAGATTCTATCCTATAAACTCTTTTTGTTTCCCATTCCAATATGGCTTGTGTTGAGAGATTCTAGCTGTGTCCCCGTAGATGGAGCCTTTCCTGCACTGATATCTTCGACAGGTCTGGAGCAGCCAGTTAGCTAACATATTTATTTAACTGGGGGAAAGCCCCTCGACATCTGAGAGCCCTTTTACAAGGACGTCCTGGCAAGATGGATGTTTTGTCATAATCCTTTACAGTGCCACACTGGTAAAATTGTCAGTGTTTAGGATACACTGAAAATATTGTTGAACTGTGGGTTGTGCTGAAAAAGTGATTTGACAAGTCTGGATACGTGGTTCTTTTGAGCTGTTATGAACCTGGGTTAACAACAAAGTAATATGAAGCCTGCTCCTGCTGGGGGGCACAGTGCCGTGTTTACACCTCCAGCTGCAGTATCACCTAAGAGTTACTGTCGTGGAATTTTGCTGTTCTAGGCTTTTCTTTTGTAAACAGAGCTTCTAACATTACAGAGGGATGGTTGGAGCTGCATTTCAGCTGTGCAAAGCTTCATCTCAACAGAATTTCTGACAGTGCTTTTACGTTCTAATTCCATCACTGCATCTCAGAATGATAATCGGAAATTAAAAACTATATACTCTGGCCTTTATTAGAACAGAAATGATCCACGCTGCAGCATTCTGGTCAGATACGGTTCATCAAACTATCTACTTCTCTCTTCCTTTTTCCTCATTGATCTCTGCTCTGGCAGCAAAAACTGGAGCACGAGCTGGAGCAGGAAGTCCACATTGTTACATTTTATTCAGTGTTGTCCTCTTGTTCATCATTTATCAGCTTGAAAGTTCTGGAATCCGATTGTACGTTTGTTAAAAATGTATATTTATACTGTTGTAACCTGGCAGGGACTACATGCCGGTGGCAGCAGCTGTTTTACAGCATTATGTGCAGCCCATTGTCATATGCATATGGGATAAGGTGGAGGTGGGTAGCAAGAGCTTTTGTCTGTGTTTATAGGCTTTGGTTATGTTATTAAGATCTAAAGATTTCTAATGGGTTGGTATTTCTTTTTTCTTATTATTGAGTTTTGTCTTTTGCTGTTCTCCAGGTAATAATACAAGTGTCAGTGAAACGACCCCAGCTAAGGATTCCTCAGGGACCACCTCCAGTCATGTGCCAGTGCCACTACAGAGGAATCCGTCGTCTGTCTCAGACCTTGGCAGCAGTAGCCCAACCTTCATCCAGTCTTCTTCAGTTCCTGACCATCCAGACAGAGGCAACAGAAACGATTTGGAACTGACACTGGACTCAAATGGCACACATGAGAACCAGTCCTCCCCCAGCTCCTCTTCATTTGTCAGCCACAAATTAAATGACATTATAAGATTGTTAACCACACCTACCCAGTCTGCAGGAGGAAACCATTCACCCACAGCCTCACCATTCAATCAGCGGCCAGTGTCTCCAGGCCATCAGGTTCCATCATCAGAGGCAGTCACTCAGTCTTCAGACCTTTTTCTGTCTAAGACCACAGGCCTGCCCATCCAGGCTGCTCATACTGGATCCACCACCGCACTGCCTGTTAGGAATGTCAGTTCAACCACTGTACTAGTGATGTCTACAGCAACCCTAACACCAGCACCTACAACAGTGATGACAACAACAACCGCACATGCTTCAACAACTGTTACAACAAACGCAGGTACAAAGATGTCACCTTCATCATCCTCATCAGCTGCACCAGCTGCCATGCCACAGCCAAATGCCCCGAGCACCGGGATGCTACCAATCCACACCACTTCTTTACCCACAGGGCCTGTCAGCAGTGTCATTACTACCAGCAGTCAGAGTGAGCCCCCTGCAGCAGGAACAAGGGTTGCCATAGTAGAAGTAGCGGGGGGGTTACTGACCATGCAGCTGGTGGATACAGCATCTTTACTGGCTGTCCTGCTTTTCGGCTTGCTCTTCTTTCTGGTCACAGTGGCTGTGTTTCTCACGCAGGCCTACGAGAGCTACAGGAGGAAGGACTACACCCAGGTGGACTACCTGATCAATGGCATGTACACAGACTCTGCAGTGTGAGGGAGGAAGAGGCTAGGCCCAACTGTGGTCAGTTTTTTTGTGCTTGGAGTCGGAGACTCTACAGTAGAATGGAGGTTGGACTGTTTGGTAACATGCTGGTGCTGTTGGACCTCCTGGGGAGAAGTGGGAATGAATTCAACTACAGCGCACTGAACTGACTTCCAAGCAGTCACAGATCTGTTTCTGTCTTAACCTTTCCACTTAACACATTCTCTCCTGCTTCCTGTTCTGGTTTGATGGTTTGAATGTGGTGAGTTCTGCCAAATATTAAGCACCATAAATAGCTTTTACCTGGATGTAAGTCTAGTTCATGAGCAGCCTACACGTGCAGCCCTCTAACGAGCATCATTGTTGGCCCGTGACGGAACGTCGTCCACCCTGCTGCTTAGTGCAGCTGGATCAAGATGCATCCAGAGCTCAACACGTGGCCTCGTCAATATCTCTTATGTCTTGTCATTTTTACGTTGAACAGTGTAAAAATCTGTCAAACTAAGTTATTGCCCATTTACAGAGAACTGTGGTCACACAGAAGTCTCATTAAGAAGCAGTTTTTCAGAAAAGCACCTTTGGACTAATTACATATCAGTTGAGATTCATTTGAATAAAAAAGAAATGCAACCCATACCGCAGAATGTTTTCCCACATTGCTTTTAAGGACCAAAGCATATTTGTGAATATTATATTGGAAATGTGTTTTTCTGTTAACTACATAATCACATTAAAAATGACAAACTCACAAACAATTTTAAAGCACAAACTAGCTGATTAAAAATAAAGAAATCAGCCTAGACCCTAACGGTCAATATGATGATGAACAACTCCTCAGTTAGCATGTCCAGTATGTACCATGTTGAAAATTAAACAATGTGCTTTAATAGGAATATGAAACATTCCAGCGTACACATCTAACTGTGCAATAGTTCAGTCCATTAGCATCTGTAGCAGTGGAATTGCAGTCAACATTAATGTGATAATTTTATTTACCAAATTTGGGGGGGGTGGAATCATTATGCTAGTGATTTCAGCTACAGTGGATCGTTTTGGATGTTTTGCCATTTCATTCTCTGTCATATTGTTATTTCCAGCGTTCACATAAAGATGCACTCAGTGGTTTTGCTGTAGTGTTTAACACCAAAATCTGACGTCAGAGTTGGTGTAGATTATTATTTGAAGCTATCGTAGTTCAGTTAGATTAACAACTAACTGATAACAATATCAGTGTTGAATTTTGGGAGTTCTGGATCAGGTGTACCTAATAACTGCGTACGGCTCTCATGACTTGAGTCTTCTCTAATTTTGGCCATCGTTTCTAGAAGCTGTGTTGAGATCTCGGAACACCATGTCCTCCAGCTGTTTAACTTCTGGCTGTGCTGTAGTGATGTAGATGTGTAGTCCAGGGTGCGTCGGCTTGTGGTTCCAGGACACCACAGGACTAGCAAACATAAGCAGTCAGATGACAGCTTTATTGTGAAACAAGCTTGCGGCCTTCATCAGTGGTGAATCAAAGATTCATTTCAGCTCCGCTCACTTTTAGGTTGACCGAGTAACAACGTTCAGGTCATCTTGAGAAACGCCTGCCTCGTTTGCAGCCTACTTGTATGAATGCAATTCCTTTGAATAAAGTCTTATTTTAACTGACTAAAAAATGGGGGAGAAAACCACAATAACAAGATTTAAGTTGTAATAAATTTATCATAGCTGAAAAATTGAAATGTATCTGTGATGAAATGGCAGTCCAGGAAAAAGGTGTGACATGAGTTGCCTTACAGCATGGACAGCAGGACGCAGGACTGGTCGCTTTTCACAGTTAAATTCAAAGTAAATGATCATATGGAAAAACATCATGACTTCTCAGAAATATAAAGGTTTTCTCAAAGACATCCAGATTAGACACTGGTACTTCTTCCAGACGTTGGAAGATGTCTTTCTGTTGCTCTGCATGAACTTTTCCCAGGTGGGGCCTAGTTTGTTGGAGCCTGATGCCACAGTGCAGTGTGGTGTGTAGTGCAGTCAGTAGGACAGTGAATGACCACTGTCCTGGTCAAGTTGATTTATTTTTCATAGTGTGTTCATGTTGGCTCTGTTCACCTGGTCTGTTTGGTTGGCCGTCAGCTACTTGGTGGTGGTGGTGATGAAGATTGTCACGCTGACAGTATAACAGCCTCATCCAGTTCAAACTGAGAATTAATAGGGTTCACTCCATTTATATTTATTATGCTGTTTTTCCTGAACTTGAACAATTTCAAAGCGTTTAGATCAAGAACAACAGCAGTGACCTTCCTAATTTATGCTGTGGCAGAAGTGTTGCATTGAATTGGACAGGTGTACCTAATAAATTGGCCGGTGGGCGTATACATCACATTTTACAGATTAACTGTAAAAAAACGCAGTAAGTGCTGATAGAATAGATAAGGCACTAGGATTAATCAGGCCGGGCTGTTGGTCTGGAGCAGGCTACCTGCGCAGACGAGATCTCCATAATAATTTATATGTCACTGCTTTTGTGAAACTGATTCACAGCTAAGTTCAGCCAGGGTAACTGGGAAATCCTGGCTTAACCTGCTAGCTAGGCTTTGTGACCCAGCCCTCAGATAAGCTTTTTCCAGACAACAAACCAGAGCCAAGCTAACGACAGCCGCACAGGACATTTTAACATTTTTTTGTTTTGTTTTGTTAAAGACGCAAAGATAGACACGTGGTTTTAGACTAGCTTAGCACAGGGGAAATGCACTAACACATTTGATGGGGCTGGTATGGCATAGACCCCTGTCTCCAGTCTCCAAATGTTGGGCTTCTTTCTTAAAAAATATTTCATTTTTATCACATTCCTTTCTATTGGTGTTCACTGATGAAATGACATTTCAACTATGCAGGGTTCAATGTTTCTTTGCACACATCTCTTGCTGTGAATCATGGGAACAAGGTGGTTTATTTCAGTGTGGCATGTTTTCTTATTTTTCTCACAGTGACTATAGTTTGGAATATTAATGAACAATATCAGGTTATATTTATCCCTAAACAAATCACTCCTACAGTTTAATATGTACTTTACTGTACATTTTCCCGTTTGCTTATGTTTTACTGATCCAGCCTTTCATCCACTTATTTTAGAGACATGTCATTGTTCTTACAAAAATAATTTAGAAGCTTTCATACTTGTAAGTCAACTATGGAAGCTGTACATGTGAAAGTAAATCTCTATGTCAGTTCTTGCAGTTGCATTGAAGATGAGCAAGATTGCTGGTCTAAAAGTCTGAGTTACATTTCACAAACTGAACACCTTTGGTGTGTCAGTGAGGAACAGTATATAATACCCAAGTACAGATGCCTACTGGCCCACTGGACAACTGCGTTTCCTCCAGTTCTTCTTAAACATGTTTGTTAGTATGCACGCTACAGGCCGATCCACTGTTGCCTGTTCTTATTTCTTGACCACTGTGTATTAGTTTACTTCTTCTGAGGGGCCATGGTTGATGAAAATTTACCAAATAATTACTGAAGCACATTATTGTAAAGCCAAGGGAATCGTAAAGCCATTATCAGTATGTGACAGATTGAACTGGATTTTTTGGACCTGTCAAGTTTGTGTTAACTTTCTAGATCTTAAAGTTGATGGTTTCATGCCATACCTAATTAGTTTCTTACAGAATCTTTTTTGTTTTGTTTTTGTAATAAATGAAAATTGTCTGGTTTGAAATGCAGGGAACGTTTCAACAATAGCATAAGAGCACATTGGTACAAAGGCAGAAAGCGGCAGTGTTTGCAAACAATTTTACAATTCTCTCAAGAAAACAACCATTGGTTTTCTTAAGAAAATTTGATCTTTATCCTGTTACCTTGCGAAAACATCTTTATTCCTGTACATGAAGAAAACAAGATCTGAAAAACTACATCTTTGATTTGTTTTATTCTGAAAATGTTATGTTTATCTCAAAACAAACATCTTTATTCTTTGACTTTAACAGTTATCTTGAAAAACATACTGTTTGGCTTCTTTTTTATTTATCTTGACAAAATGAGGTATTTATACCATTATCCTCATAAAATATTTCTGAATTTTTGTTTTAATTTTATTTTACTTTTTCAACAACAAAATGACTGACTTGTTAATTCCAGTGGCTTTTTGCTTCCATACATGGATGTAATTATTTTGTTTTCTCATGATGGCCGACTAGTGTCAATCATCTGCATGACAAATTCTGTTTTCTCATCAACACAATGTAATTATTTCATGATGGCAGGACGCCCCAAACCATCAAATCGAAAGATTAGGTAACCATTGGTTTTAGGACTGCTATTTACATGCATGATGGCTGTCATGCATTTGCTAAAAGAAACATTTGGGTAACCCTGATGTCACAGCAAATGAGTCAACAATCACTAGAAAACAAAACAAAACAAGGCTTCACTAGTCTTTTGTAGGATTGACTGATGTCTGCAGCGATGACAAATTGTTAGGACGACGTTACTGGCTTCATTAAGTCAGTGAAGCATTTTCAAGATTTGATGGTTTCTGGGGGCAGTAGTTGTAAATGGAGCTGCTCAAGATCCTGGTGGGCTGCGTTTACAGTATCTGATGTGTAGGATGTTAAGAAATGACAAAGCCACCTGCCGTGTGCCAACACAACACTGTACTAATGCACTTTGAAAAGATATTTTTACTTGCAGAGAATAAATAATGAAAAAAACAACCACACTGATCTTTGTGTTTGAGTCAGTCACTGTCTAAGCTTACATTTAAATCATAGTGGCGAGCTGTAGAGCATTTCATACATAGCATAGCAGTGTAAGACCGTCGTTCTGCATAAAGAGAGCTCCCCACAGCAGTGCCACGTTGATCCAGGGGAATGGTCCTCTCAGAGAGCTGGCTTCTTAGCACGTTCAGTCAAACTTCAGATTTCTCCCTGCTCCACCTTGGCCTTGGGGATTTGACTTGGTTTCTGTGCCACATCTTTAAAGAAGGTGAAATATTTTTGTTGGTGTGCTTTTCTAAGCTGGCCTTGTGTAACCAGATGGCAAAACACACATGTTAAACAGTGGTTACTCCACAGATTCTGGCTGAAGACAGGAGCATTTTGGTTTTGGAATCAGCTTTTTTCCAAACTTACCGCAGTAATGGCTCCAGTAGCTGTTCTAGATTAAAAATGTTCCTAGCTGGACTGTTAAAGGGCCATGCCATGCCTTCTTTCCCCAACATTTAGCCCATTCTCTACAAATCAGCCATATTCACAGTAATGTGTTAGCCTTTGGATTCTATTCAGTTCAGTATAACATTACTCTTAAATGAGTTAGTTACCCTATGGCTGTGATTATTATTATTATTATTATTGTCAAAACTACATTACTGCTGTACAGTAATGCAGCTGAAAGAGCAAACTGATTAAAGTCTACAATATATTAAATGCTCCCTGTAGAGGTGTCATCCACGACAGAGGCTGAACTGCTTGGTTTGCTACAGAGGTTCAGATCTATTATCAGCGATCTCGCAAAATCACAGGTAAAAGAGCATAGCTATTACCAGTCAAATGCACTGTATCTCTATAATAGATCAGTTTGTTATATCCTCAGACTTAGTGGATTCTATATAATTATGCTTAAATATGCGAAACAGCATTTAGAGTTGTAACTAATTTTAACTACTTTTATAGATCATTAACAGGACATAACTCTGAAAACCATGCCTTTGATCAGACATTCAACCCCCATTGCCATTAGTATTTTGATTATTTTGCTGTGAAAAGAAGTAAATTCATTTCCTGCAGCAAACAGAATTAAAGCTGAGCCTTTCTTCAACAGTTAATTCACTGTTTCATGAATTTAAAAGACAGAAAATAAAAGCAATTGTAAGTCTGGGCATCCTGCTGCAGTAAATCAGTAGTGAGAAGAAAATGACTTGGGCATTTATCAGGAGAGAGACTAATGAAAGACACTATGAAGTTGTATCATGGAAAGTGTTCTGGACTGCTGAAGGATTGTTGATTTGATTTTGACCTTTCTTTTTGAGTTCAGTTTCACACTGCAACTTTGTTGAAGGGCAGTATTGAAAAGCTGAAGCTCCCCTTTAAAACAGCTCTTAACAAACAAGTGCTTGTCGCTTTTCTGTTCTTATGATCTCTGTAGATGGATAAAAGGATGAAAATAGTCACTTCAGGAACACAAGATCTTTACATCAGCTGAACTGTACTCCCAACACATCTGAATCCCTCAGTATTGCAGATATGTACCACAGCATGTTGCCGCTACACTGCACCTCTGTGATGATGTGTTTTCCAGAGCAGCAGCGAGTGCTTTTCATCTTAGTCATCCGGCGTAGCTCTGCTAACACACCTGCAAAATGACAACACACGCAACAACACATCAGTCAGGGAGCATGGGAGTCTAAACACGGCAAGCCACATGCAAGCTAAACACCACACACAGTCAGCACATTTCTCAGCCATCCGGTGTAGTTTAGATTTCAGCCTGTTTACTCTTGATGCATAATTGAAAGTAGCCCACAGTATTTTATTGTTTCTCAACATGCAAATGTACTCACATTTAACCCCTCTGAGTTAAGTACATTTCTGCCTGTACAGTATCTTTATGCTAATTTTTAGAACTTTAAAGGGCTTCTAGTTCCAAAACCCACATGTCTGTGTTATTGTTGTAAAGATAATACTGAGAAGTGTCATCTGGTATATTTGTCTTACTGCTAATACTACCACAGTTAAGTTGATGGAGTTTTAAACTGAGGAAAAAATAAATGCTTTGTTTTTTGTCTTTGTTTATAATTCAACTATATAACAATATCTGTTCTTCAGTATATCTATAATGTGTGTTCAAATTTTATGTTGATTGAGTCCAGAACGAAGTACTAAGCATCAACAGCAAGTGGCCATGTCGCATTACAAAACCTGTTGTTTGGTTGTATGTCTGTGTGTGAGAATGTCAAAACCACTTCACACAAAGCCAGAGTGAAAATGCATTTTTTGGTCACCATATTTATTTATTTGAGAAAAACAAGACATACGTAGCTGATAAGTGGAATAAAATTGTAGTTCTCCTGGACGAGACTGGATTGGTTTTTCATTCTGGATCATTAGAAAATGTCTATAGGGGGAAATAACTTCAGAATTTCAGTGAGTGTTGTCATACGACAGTACAAGGTTAAAATGGTCAGCATGTATCAATTGCAGTTTCCAGGTTAGCAGAAGAGTTACTTTTGTGGCTTGAGAGTATGTAATGCATAAGTGTCACAAGCTGGAGCTACATTTACCCCAGTAGCAAAGCACGGTCTCTAAAATCATACAAAACAGACTAATAGAAGAACAAAGGGCAACATGAAAGCTTTAAAAACCCTTAGCTTAACCAGAGGTTAAGATCTTCCTCAGCTTCTAAGCTCTGGCAGTGATCCCGCTTGTCAAACATCTAGAATGAAGAAGACGCCAGTCCAGCACTGCAAAGCCTCCATATGTGCCAGCAAGGGATTTACTTCAAGCAGAGAAACCACCTTGCACTCTTATTTCCCTAACCCTCATTAATCTAGCCCTACCCCACACAGGAACCTCGCCCTACAGCCCCCTAAGATCACCGCCAGCAGCCCTAACCAACATGCAAATGGAACCCGTGAGTGCAAATCTCATCCTGTGGTAATGGTCTGTCTGGGGCTGGGAAATCAGGTTTGTGTATTCCCAGATTGACTGGGTAAAATGAGCAAACTACCCTGGGGCTGCACACCCCTAGCTGCTTCCAGCTATCTCCTGTCTAACTCTCACTTGTTTGGTGATGTTTAGTTGAATTTTGTTTGGTAGTGTGTTTCCTGAAAGCCGTCCCTGGTAGGCTAGCGGTTAAGGCGCAGTGCTCTCGCCGCTTGCAGCCCGGGTTCAAATCAGGGTTGCATCAGGAAGGGCATCTGGCATAAAACACATGCCAAATGTCAACATGTGAGTCATCAGTGTGACGATTCACTGTGGCGACCCCTAAATGGGAAAAGCCAAAAGTGACTTTCTTTCATTGTGTTTCCTGAAAACAGTGTGCTCGCTCTCCAGGCCTGTTTGCGTGGAATGCAGGCTGGTGTGAGGATCTGAGGAAGTCAGTAGGCTGGAGAAGAACACACAAAGAGAGGTGTTATACAGGGCCAGTGCCTTTGTAATTTACACATGAACATCAAGACCAAATTTTATTTATCACATAAATTCTAGCTTATTCATGTTAATGATGAATCTTCCACACAGACTAAAGTTAGTCACAGGTTTAATTTTCTTCATTTTATACATGCTCCCCTTGGAAAACATTATTAGGGAACACGGCATAAATTTCCACTGAAATTTCCAATCAACATAAAATTTGAACACACATTATACAGTAGATATACTGAAGAACAGATATTGTTATATAGTTGAATTATAAACAAAGGCAAAAAACAGAAAGCATTTATCTTTTCTCAGTTATATTTATCTATGAACCCAGGTGAATCAGATCAGTTGGTCAAACTTCCAGCATGTCTTAAAGACAAAGGCCTGGATGACCTGTAATTTCTTACTTCTAAACTCCAACAAAACTGAAGCTATTGTACTCGGGCCTGAATCTTAGACACATGCTATTTAACCATATATTTACTCTAGATGGCATAGCTCTGGCCTCCAGTACTGCTGTGAGGAACCTTGGAGTCATCTTTGACCAGGACATGTCCTTTAAATCACATATAAACCAAGAAGACTGGGAGCTGGCTCAACAGGAGATAAGCTTGATAGCTAAAGGCACTGCCTCTCACTCTGCTTCTGTGGACTCTAGGAACCACAAGTAAACCTGCACTCTGAGAGGAAGTGCTCTGTTGGGATGATAAGGCTCTACGTCAGGGGTGTCAAACTCAATGGCACAGGGGGCCAAAACTCAAAGCACACTTTAGGTCGCAGGCCGAACAGGATAAAAATGTATTGAGCAGACTAAAACTAAACGTTTTTTAACATAAATATGAATCGAAACAGACAGGATATAATATTATTCCAAAATAAATAAACTTGAACTTAAAATCAGCAACCGTATTTCTGCTAAGGCTTACATTTGCAAACACCTGCTTTTTGTCTGGACACCAGACGT